CCACCTCTTTATTACTGTCTTTGTTGCCTTTTTCCTGGCTTTTTCTTTTTTCTGCCCGTCCGACGCTCTGCAGGCTGCTGCTTGGGGAATTGCACCCATCTTAAAGCATGCTGAGATTGAGAAGCACTGCTCTTTTGCAAAAAGGGTTCTGGGACGAACCTTCGCGTACAGGTGTATGTTGGACACGCAAGAATTGTGGCTTCTCTGTCAGATTCCAGGAGACTATTGTTGCTGAGTCAAAGTGCGGAAGGCTCTGTCCGAATTATTCTAAGCTCAATTCACAATACAAGAATTTCCAAGGGGGAGAAATGAGATCAACCGGTGCTGTGTGGTGGGACCTAGCCAGGGATGATTTTAGCTATATATTTATATCTTTGTTGGTTTGTTCGTTTGTTTAAAGAGTTTATAAGGCTGCCCATCTCCCGCTAGTGGCTCTGGACAGCAAAGACATAAAACAACACAAAATAAATGAAAATACAATGCACCGTATTGCAATACAACCAAGGTTCCCACTCCTGTCACACATCGTAAACCCTACATACCAGCCCCGACTAACATCCTGGCTTCACTACCTGAGGGGACAAAACAGGTTTGGAAGACTTTCCGGAAGGCTAGCGGGGTGGGGGCCATCTGGATCTCAGCGGGGGGCAGAAATGCCCTCTGACTTTAACTGCAAAAACTCTTGCAGTTCTGGCTGGGGCGCTCTCTTTCCCCAAACGTACCAAAATGACACCTTACGCTCTGCATGTTGGAACAGGTCCAAACACCGCAACAGCTTGTCGTTTCCTTTGAGCAGTTAAATGGGGGGAAAGCCAAGGACACGGGATTAGTGGAGATTTCCTAGAGGAAATCCTTGGAATGGTTCCTAATCCTGCTCTCTTTCTCATTCTCACTTGGCTTTTCTGCTGTTGGTCATACACACGTGCAGCTGTGTGTCCAGTTTTACCCTTCGTGTGTTGAGCTTCCTTTGGCAAAGATGGTAGTATACCTGGGGAGGGGAGGCAAGGGAATCCCCAGGGTATGGTTAAAAAAAGTCAAGATGGTGACCACAATGGCGTGATTGAAGTTCTGCCTGTTTTAGGAGTGCCATCTCGACGTTTTTGACCAAACCTGGGGACACCCCTGCTGGTTCTTCTTCCTGGTTTGCTGATGCAACCTCCACCCTTTGTTTAGATGTGAAAGCTGAGCCTTATATGGGATTAACTCGACTCGCTTCTGGCCTCTCCTTTGTAGGTCATGGTAGCTAGTCCCAGGATGAGGCAGTCCACAGCAGAGCTCAGGGCCAGCTTTTCTTCCAGCAGCCACCTGTGCGTTGTAGATGGGCCCTTTCCCCCTTCAACCAACTCCGAACTACCTCCAAATAATTGTCATGAGCTCTCCCACAGTAACAACTGGATCCATTTCCCCTGGCCTTTCTCTGCTCTACGATCCTCTCCTGAGAAGCAGAGGATTTTTTCCCCTAAGAAGAAAAATGGTGTCGAAACCAAGCCAGAGCTCAGAATGGGGTGAAGTCACATCTCATTTGTTGGAAGGTGGACCGGGACCCAGCAGTGGCACCTGACCTGGCTCATCCTGAGACGGCTTTGTTCTTTCCCCTCCGGCAGAGTCACATTCCGCTCTGGGTGCAAATTGCTGTTGTGTGTAAAATACAGCGCCTGTGTTGGAGCCCTCGGGGTCTCCTCTCTGCTTTCTAATCATGGCCTCCCCAAGAAACCCACCCTGTCTTTGTTCCTACATTCTGGGTCCAAGTTCTGCTGCTCAACTATTGGCTTTGTGTGAGAAGAGCCGCATCTGCTTGGGTGACCCAACCTTGGAAAGCCCTGCGTTCTAGGAACATTTGATTCGATTTTGCAGAGGACGTCAGGAGCTCCCGTCGGATGAACCCAAGGGCTCTTGCTGTTCCCGCCGAGCAGATTTGCAGGCAAAACAAACTCAGGCATTTTTGTTTCTGCTTGGCCTGCTGCTATCGTTTTTTCATGATTAAAAATCTGGACATAAATAAAGAAACCCACCTTGATGGAAGCGTTGGACTCGTTCCTCCTGAGCTGCCCTTCAGGGGCCAGCGGGAAGAGGTGGGTCTGGGCGTGTCGGTCCCGTTTGCTGACTGCCATGTTTTGTTTTGCTCGAGGCAAAGAGAAGTGTGGAGATCCAGATGTTATTTCCTGGCTCAGGACACAAAGGCTTAGGAGACCTAGTCCTGACCAAACGCTCCTGCAGAGCAAGAGGCAAATTGAGGGCCCCGCTTTGCCTCGTGACTCCCGGAGCGCAGTGGGCAGGACGCCCAAAGACAAGGAGTTTCTCCATCTTCGCCAGTTAACACGTTGGTGGATCAGCCATAGCTGTGAAGGACGGATGCAGCCAAGGACAGACGGGGAATCTTTGGCCAGCCTGTCTATGGACTAAGTGCATCAGAGGGGGCTGTGGGCGACCTCCCTCTGCTCGGTCCTGCCCTGAGTTGACCACAGGCTGCGTCCTTCCAGCCCAGCCAGTCCTCAGGTCCGAGACCCCTGATCCCTTAAGGGGAGCCCTGGTGACGGAAGAACGTGAGCAGGGGTTTCGCCAGACGGAATAAATGGGGCCAAAGAGGAAGAGATTTGACCAGGGCTGCCCTGAACTGGCCCACGTGGAGACGTGGCAACAGGGGTATCTGCATGGTGTGGGGGTCAAAAATGGTTAGCCCTTCGAGGTAGTCCAGACAAGAAGCACCCCCAGGAGTACTGATTCTATCTTTATTGTAAGGTTACACTAAGAGAGTCTTGCAAGATTGAAAGCATTTCTCCCCTCCTCTCTGTTTAGTCTCTGGAAAACTAGGGGGATCCCTTCCCGGGCTTTTTCCTTAGTCCTCACTTAACAAGGGTAATGGGGACTGGAATTTCCATCGCTAAGCGATGCAGTCATAAAGCAAGATGTTACACGAGCGTGCCACGTAGCAACGGCAGTTCTGGCAGTCCCCAGTTACTGTTGTTAAGCAAATCACCATAAGTCATTAAGCAAGGACTTCACACGACCACAACTTCCAACTTCCAACTTCTGCCAGTCTCCTCATTGATTTGCTTGTGGGAAACTAGCAGGGGAGGCCACAAATGGCGATCATGTGTTCTTGGGGATGCTGTGACGGCCGCAACTTCAAGGACCTTCCATAAGTATGAGTTCCACTCATTCAGCGCTGTTGTAAATTTGAACGGTCACTGAATGAGTGGTCAGTAAGCGAGGCCCACCTGTATACTGTTTGATCTGATCCACAACATTTTCCTTGCAGTTCAGGCCCTCCATACCTCAGATTTGCCATCAGCTTTTCTGTTGGCATCAGAGCTTGGTGTGACCCTGCACTGTTTTCTAACAATCCAGGCACAGAAACTTATGTTTTAGAATTTTGCAATGCAGTTCACCTTTTTTTTTTTTTTTTAACGTATTGGGGAGTATCTGCAATAATGCATATATTCATCACAGTAGCATACAAAAATGAAATATAGCAAGGAAGTTGTTTGCAAAAAACTGGGTAGATTAGGCAATATTACAAATAATAATGTATGGAAAAACATGCATTTCATAAGGCAGTAAAAACAGTTTTATGCCATTGTGCCTTTGGGCTAAACTGATCACGGGTGCCCATCTTGGGTATTCATGATCAGCTTCATTAATTACATTTTTCCTTTTTTTTTTTTTTTTAACGTTTTGGGGGGTATCTGCAATAATGCATATATTCATCACAGTAGCATACAAAAATGAAATATAGCAAGGAAGTTGTTTGCAAAAAAATTGTGCCTTTGGGCTAAACTGATCACGGGTGCCCATCTTGGGTATTCATGATCAGCTTCATTAATTACATTTTTCCTTTTTTTTTTTTTTTTTGCTTTGTAGTTTTTCACCTAGAGTCTCACCACTTGGGGTGGTCTACAAATATTGGAAATGCAATGAGACATAATTGATACGATATATGAGATGTGATGAGAGATAGGATGTGATGTGAGATGATATCAGCTGTCACAGAGCCTCTGGACGGGTCTTAACAGCCTTCCCAAAAGACTCCAAAACTGATGCTGATCATCAACTATTCCATAAAGTCATGAAGGGACTCTGAGAGGCCAGTAGCACAAGGACCTTTTCAATGATACCCCCACCACCACCACCACTGTCACCTCAAGGCATCCTATGCCGATGCACATTTGTTCCTTAGAGAAACCATGGCCAAGTCCCCAAGACTGAGTGGGGAAACCTAAAATACCAAATTAGGGATGTCTTGAGATTATCGTTTAAACACTTTCTTTTGCTGTCTGGAATGAAAAATGTCTGATTTCAAATGAGGAACTATCTGTCTGTCTGAATCTCCATCTCCATCTCTGTTTCTCTCTCTCTCTCGTCTCTATTTCTACCTCTATATATCTATTGGAATTTATTATAGCCACCCAACCAATGGACTCCGGCTGGCGTACAAAACTGAAAAATCCATAAAAACAGATAAAACCGTGCAGACAGCCCAGACTAAGACAATCTTATAAGCAACACAACAAAACAGGGCCCCCAAAAATACAATGGTACATGAACACCGAATGCAAGAATACAGGAATACAAGAATAAAGTAATACAAAAATTCAATAGCACGTTAATATACCAACCCCAGGCGAACAAGGAAACTGAAGAGCCGGCCTGGGGTGGGCGCAACTACCCGCTGCACGGAGCCCAGGCTGATGCAAAAAAGGGCGGGGAGGGGGGATTTCGGGCGAGGCTCCTCTGGCCTCCTTAACTCAGCTTTGTAGGGCTAGACGGGGGGAGTGGGGTGAGAGCGGCTCCATGCCTAGAGGATGCGACCCTTGGCTGAAGGCCCCCTCGTGGCCCAAGCAAGGGAGGGGATGGCCAACACGGGGCACTGGCCCTCTTGCCTTCCCTCCCGCAGAGGGGTGGGGAGAATGGCCCTGCTTTCCCAGGGGCGTGCAGAACTGGCAGTGTGCCTAGCGTCCACTTTGCACTACTGAAAGGTCTCATTTTTGCTTGTCTTTCAGGGACGCTGCATTACGTTCACCAGGGTGAAGACTTCCCAGGCGCCGCCCAAGTACCCGCTCAACAACGCCTACCACCCTTCATCCCCACCCCCTGCCCCCATTTACA